CCCGGAGGCCTTAGTCATTGTGGATTTTTAGCCTCAGGGCCACCAATTAACGTCTGCCCGGCCCGCTAATGGGACCATTCGAACAGACGACCACTCGGGGTGGGTTTTAGACTCCTGAACAGCTCGAACACTTCGACCTGCCACTGAGGTCGGAAAGAAAACACACCAAACACCATGAGACCGAATAGTAATTGATCATTTTCATTAAACTTATTAAATGCATAGTTATATCGCACCAGATAAAAAAAAATCAAGCATATTCTTTGACCTCCCTTTCCTGTCTGTACACGACGACCTGAGTTGCTGTTTGCTCCATGCTTTTCACTCCTCACCGCAACCAATATCCAGTCCACCTACTCATGCATTTTCCTCAGCAACATTCAACAAGTTCCATTAGTCGCGTTTTATCCACATCATCCAATTTGCAATCCCGGTAGCAATAATAACAAAAGACAAATAAATCAAAGCAATCACATTGGTCCACGTTCGTTTATACCATACCTCAATCTCATGCAAGTCTCTACCACGATATGAAATCACATAAACACCCACTCAAATGTACAGTCGACCAGAATATCACAAAGCCATGAATTCAACAAACAATTACAATAAACCATACTCTGCAGCTACCAACAATCATTAAACGAATGCACCACAGAAAAATTCAATTGAGTTACTCCCAATACCGAGTTCCTTAGTCATGACGACTCGAGACTGGCCAGCCCGAAGGCCTTAGTCGTGCCAGATTTTGTTCGAGGCTCCACGTACACCTCATTTTCTGCATTTTGTTAGTCACTTGAATAATAATTCCAAACATCTATATACACCACAATCTCAGCAATATCTCGCCCAAAATATTCAAACAATGAATATTACTCCAAAAAATAATGCTAAGAGACTCAATGTTTCATTATATTAAGTCGGTTGAACTTGACCACTCACAAAAGTTGAGATTAATTTTATACCTGATAGTCGAGCATGCTTCTGTCAATTATTCCACCTCTCCGAAAGAGAATGATTTCTGCCTTTGAAATTGCCACCTGTGATCGGCACCATCCAGACTCGTCCCTCATTATCACCCTGCTTTGATGGATCCATGCTCGCTCATTTTGCCCTCGAAACTCCACAACTCGTCCACCATAGCTTGTCGAAACTCGGGTTATTTTGAAGTTTCCTCGACAAGAATTCAAAGAGATACTATTATCACATTATATTCACGTCATCTATTTTGCAATTTTTCACGCAAGAAAAACAAGAGATCAAATACAAATACCGCCATCTCCTCGATTTAAGATATGCTCGAGCAATGACATGCTTAAAAAATTATGAATAGTCAATTCAAACACAATCACAAGATATCCGCAATCCGAAACCACGACCCGCATTTATGTTCAATCAAATAAATTCTCCGCGAATAAATCAAATAATATCTCCACGAATAATTCAAACAATATCTCCACGAGCAAATCAAATAATTCCACGATCAAATCGAATATCACCACGAACAAATCATATAATTCCACGAGCGAATCAGATATCACCACGAACAAATCAAATATCTCCAGGAATAAATCACATAATATCTCGAGCAAATCAAATAATTCCGCTCGAACAAATCGAATATCACCACGAATAGATTACATAATATCTCGAGCAAATCAAATAATTCCCCTCGAACAAATCAAATATCACCACGAATAAATCACATAATATCTCGAGCAAATCAAATAATTCACCTCGAACAAATCGAATATCACCACGAATAAATCACATAATAAACTCCATGAATATATTAAATATTCTCCACGAATATATCAAATAAACTCCATGAACATATCAAATAAACTCCATGAATATATCAAATATTCTCCTCAAATAAATCAAATAATATCCCAAATTTCACCCATTGAAAAATCCTCAAGCCTCCACATTTTCCCATTTAAATCAAACAATTTCTCCAATTTCACCTATTTAAAAATCCCTTGAGTCCATAATTAAATTAACCACATACCTTAATAATGAGAATATCATCTCAGATTACCTTCCCGTCCGCCTCGAATCGTCCCGAATTAGTCTTTATTGTTCTTAATTGTTCTATCCATTTTTATGAGTTGGATCTTATTTTAATTGAGTGTGAGAAGAGAGCCTGTTCTCGATCCTCTAAGAGTGAAACCTATATTAATTATGTCTCAACAAGTGTTCGGGAGGACCACTTAGTATAACTCGAGGAATTTGGGTTACAAAATCCACAAAGAATTTGTGGTCGGAAAAATAATTGTATATGTGGCTTAGTGGCTATAACAAAGGTAATGGAGAGGAAGTCTGCATTGTAAAACCTTAGTGTAATGGCCGAAACACTTATGCGAACGAAAGAGTTCCGGAGGGAGAGCGGAAAGCTCTTCTAAAGGTTCATGTTTTGCAAAACATTGATTCCGCAACAGTGTGAACTTACATCCGAGTTTACTGCTTTGTTCATTTAGCGCAATTCATGTATACTGGTTTATATTCCCCCACAATTTCAGTTTTGATACCAGTTGTTGGATCTATGACGATCGTCGAAAATCATGTTTTCATGTGCCTCTGAGACGATACTCGGTCAACAGGACTAGAAAACCAAAAGCCGATCTTATGTTGTTTTCCATCACCAAGTCCGAATGCCGTATGAACGACATTCTACTAAACCTCTTTTGTCGTCCGTATGATCACACGTATCTAAGAGAATAAGAAAGACTTCTCTTGAATTAATCCTTTTAGAACTAGGAAATACAGTCTCTCTCTCTCTTAAAACATCGCGTATGCATGAGTTCTAAGAGTAAGAGAATAATATGGATTGCCAGATTAATGTATTTATAAGCTACATAGACTTAGAAGAGGTATTAGAATTAGTTCTTCTAATATTAGATGTACAAGAGTTCTGGCTGAACTCTACCCCTTAGCCTATAAATAATAACTCAGTTCACTAAAGATATTGAACTAACTTTATTAAACTCAAATAATATATGGACTACATTTATTATATGCTCATTTATCTCTCGTTTTATAAGATTATCAAATGTCTATTAATTAATTAGATTATTGACAAATAATCAACTTTTTTTGTAGTATCATTGTTACACCGTATAAAATCCACTTACAGGATTAACATAATAATCCTTAGGTACCCATTTTGGGAGGCATTATCAACCGAACGCATCAGAACATGAATTTCTTCTATAATCAACAATATATCATATAAATCAAACATATCAGGATCGGACTAAATCGGAGCAGTTTCAGCCGACCTTTTCCTCAATTCCACAGAAACCCTAAATCGGAGCAATTTCTGCCTTCCCTCAGCAGGGCCTTCGGGCCACCATGACGGCGGCCTTCACCGTGCTGTACGGCTAGCTTCCAGAGAACCTTCGGATGTGGCGGCGGCCTCTTCTTCGAGCGACGCGACGGGTTCTTCCTTGTTTTCGCCTCCTTCTAGGTTGTCAAGGTAAGATGTGGTCTGGCGATTCCTCGTCGTCTAGGCGGCGGCAGGCTTCCGATGAGGCTGTGCGAGGCGGTTGTGGCTCCAATCCTCTCCTTGGTGGTGGTCGGGGCCGAGATTGGGCGGTTCCACTCTCCTCTCTTCTTCCGTTCTTCTCCGCCATTGGGCTGGTTGGGTTGCAGTGGAGGAGTCGGGTCGGGTCGGATCTTGTGTCCTGGGCCCGGGTAGTCGAGATTTGGGAGGTGGAGTTTGTAGTGTTTTCTCCGGTCGCGGGTATATGGGTTGTCTACCTGGGCGAGGGTCACGGTCCTTTAGTCTTGAACCTGGTTAGGCGATTTATCTGCAGTTTCTGGCTTTGAGACTTGGACTAGGTCTCTGTCCATATGGGTGACCGCCCGTAGGTGTCGTCGTCATTGGTTGGTGTTCTGTTTGGTTTAGCTGCTGTGGGAAGGGCCATAATTTATTTATTTTGTTGTGTTTGTGTTCGTGTTGTGTTGTAAGAGTGCGTTTGTGCTTTTCTTCCCCGATTTTAGTTTTAGGAGTGTTGATTCTCCCGTTGGGGAGTGTTAGNTCCCAAATCAACCTCACTAGAGAATCAAAGATACATATATTGAATAGACATGCATGTATTAACGAACATCAATAATAATTGAGGTTTGATTTTTTATTTATTAAGTCGGTACAAAATGAATAAACAAACTAATTATAACTTGTACAGTCACCTTAAGAAATTACTCAAAAAAGTAATGCTATTTAGCTAACTTGGATGACAACTTGGGTTACAACCGAAGTGTAAGCGCATTATCAATAAATAAAAAATAATGTATTTACACTTGAGTTGTAACCCATGTTGTAACCCAATTTTATAGCATTAGAGCATGGGTTTTATAGCATTAAAACACCCACAATGCTTTGGATCTCTTCCAAAAAATTCACATGCCCTGTAGGAAATAGACTTAGTCTATAAAAAAGTGTTTCACAATGCAATTAAAAATGAACTTGGTCTAGCTTATGTGGCCCACTCTTGGGTCTATTTTGGACCCAAGTGTGAACCTGTACAATCAGCAATTAATTCACATTTTTATTTACGCCTGTTTTTATTGGTTGATATGTGTTCTAGACCTAGTATTTTATTTTTGCATTGGAAAGCTCTTGAGTTTTTTTACTTGGATTTGTCCATTAATAATCTAAGTCCAATTATATGCCACATATACAAAAAAAGACTCAAAGCATTCTGGGTGCTCTTACTCATCCAAAAAAGGATGTACATCAATAATAACTAAGGTTCTTTTAATAAAGTCAGCACAAAATGAACAGAGAAACTAATTCTAAGTTATACTACAATCAGTACAATAACTTGTCCATCACTATATTGTGAACTATATTTATATGTTATAAATTAATCAGAACCAATAATAAGACCTTTCGCATGACACAACATTCAATTATTATCTACAATATCAAATAGTGGACAAGTTGCATATCATGTAAATAAATTACAATCACTTTTAACTTAAACACAATTCTCATTCATAGTGAAAATAATTTCAAATAGATGAAGCTGCAGGATCATATAAAATAAATACAATCACTTTTGACTAAACATCATTCACATTCAAACTATAACCAATTCAAATCAAAGCAAGACTTTAAATATAGGAATCGACAACTTATTTATTCATATTTATAAGATATTCCTGTTGCGTTACAACGGCCATATAATCATCCACAAGCAGCTAGCGTTGCTTCAATATCCTAAAGATAGAATATCCCGTGAGCTTCATACATTATTCTCTTCTAGCTGCTTCAATATCCTAAAGATAGAATATCCCGTGAGCTTCATACATTATTCTCTTCACATCTCATTGGTAAAGTAGAGGAAAAAAATAAGCACATCTAAGGGTGTGCTTAAAAACAAATAACCTCAAGTCATATTTAATATCTAATTCAATTTTAATTCAACCTCATTATTTTTAATATTATCAATATAATTAAATAATATCAATCAATTATTTTTACATATTACATCAACTTTAATTCATTATTCATCAATTCACATAATTTTAATTAACCATCACTTTGCATCATCTCCTTCATACTTTTATATTAAATCATCTTTACTTATTTTATTTTAAATATTATTTTAATTATTTTATTTTAAGATATATTCAAAATCCCATTAACAACTAACCATACCACATTTTCTTTTCAAATTAACTCTGGTTAAGATTAAAAAAATTCATTTTGAGCGAATATATTTGCATACACGTCCTAAATAATAAGAGTGATGATTTATATTGGCAAACAATCTAGATACTCGCAAAACAATGACAAAAACAATAATAAAGGAAATTTCACTACAAAAATATTCTGCAATCAATGCCCCATAAAAAGGAAAAAGAAAACACAATCAACAGACTGCACTGTTGCTGTATTTAGGAACTTGATTTCAACAAAGGAAAAGCAAAAATAAATAAACCAACTCTGTATATTAAAGTGGCTATTATGTGTCATAGACAATACATTTGCTGAAGGATACAACACCATCAGGTATGCTAACCTTCTCTTTGTTTCATCTTCTTCCTTTGTTTCCGCCTTTGCTCATGCAAACCTGGTTATGTAGCACAGTAACATACAAGATTACTCAAGGACAAATGGAATATTTATTTCATTGCAATAATCAATATATGTAAATTGACAAATGGTAATACGTTTTTTCATCTCTTTTCTTTTCCTTCTCAAGCTGTCTGAATTCTTTTGCTTTTCTGCAATCTCTTTCAGATCCAAGCACGCCTGATAATATGGGACACCAAAATTTGAGTTCATAGGGAGACAATATGCTATGATACAAACCAAAAGAAACTGAGTTTTACTTCAATTCCAGTTCATGAACAAGAGATACAAAATTTGGTATTTGATCGGTTGTTTATCTAAAGTTAACTCATGATACTCGCTAAGAACAACTTTCTGTGATCATTTGCAGGCTTACCTCATTACTTGCATTTTTCAGTGCCTCAAGTGGCTCCACGCAATCTTGACCAATAACTACTAATTTTCTCCTTTTATTTGGATCAAAACTACTTGCACCTCCAAGTTTCTGTTTTGATAGTTCTTCAAATTGATGTTGAAGCAATGGAGTGACACCAGCCTGGCAATTTTCCAAACTCGGTTCAATGGACTAAAATAAAATTTTCAACTAAATATTCGACATACGTTCTGATACACTGGGTCGTTCAATATGATCAAAACAGAAATTTTCTATCTATCGTTGAAGAACTCACATATACAGTAAATACAAATGTGCAGAAAACACCTACTCCAATCCTCCACTAAATCTTTTACTGTTGCCTAGATTGTACAACAAATAATGCCAGCCTAGCTGTCATTTTGCATATAGTGAATCATGAAAATGAAACAGCCACCGGAGACAATTATCAATGTACCACAAGAAAAATCCAGTTACACGTTACCTTATCTGAATGCAAATGTTCGATATGTGAGAGGTTATGCACTAAACCAGACAACAAACTCTCTTGAGCGAGTAATTTTACTTACCCCTGCCAAATAACGCTTTGAAAATGCTCTGGGTTGCAATGGCCTAGAAAGTAATGAGTTGAGCTCCTGAAATTTTATGGCAGGACATGTCCCAATAAGCTATTTATCCCAATGAACTCCATCTATCTATACTTCTGAGGCATTTACATGATACAAGTTGATCAATTAAGTGAGAACACTTCTGTTAAACACATACCTGCTGCAACTTGGTCAGCTGATTTGATTTGTTTTTATTTTGCCTGTATTTCTTCACTCTGTCCTCCTCACTGTCATTATCCTCCAAAACCAGTTCAATGGATTCAGCATTTCTCTCCAACCAACTTTTTTCAGCTTTCACCTGGCAAAGAATTGGTCAGGAATTATGTTTAAAAAGCAGAATGGAGAATTAACAATCTCCTGGGAGATAAAAGTCAACTAAAGCATATAAAACAGACAATTCATCATTCTAAACCTAATTCAGAAAGGAAGATCATTACTAAGGTGGAAGCAAGTACGAGAATTACTAGGAAAAATTTCATAATTGGTCCACTAACTAGGCCTACTTTACACGAATGGAGCATTATATTGGCCTAGCTTCTGGCGCAGGGGAGTTACGAGGTTTGATGATGCCATGGATGATGACCATGAAGATTTAATGGATGTGGGGCGCGGCTGGGAATTTGGGAAAGAAGGACATGAAAGGAGAGGAAAATGGGGTTGGGTCATGGGTCGAGAAAATAGAAAAAAGAATAGAGGGAGAGGAAAAGAGAAAAGGGTGGGCTCGGGTTGGACCTGGGCAGGAAAAGGGAAAAAAGAAAGTTGGGCTTGTGCTGTGGACTTTCAGTTTCAGCCCTAATGCTTTTACATAATTTTTTTTTAAATTTAGCGGGCCAGCCGCCTAGTCCATGGCCCATGGCAGGGGTGGGCGGGGCGGCCATTCAGAGGCCTGCCCCGCCCCGCCAAATGGCGGGTTTTGGCGGGCCGCGGGCCGGCCCCACCGGCTTGCTTTGATGGGCCGGGCCCATTTTGATATGTCTACTTTCAGTCTTTATGCAACTGTGCGGCGTATTTTTAAGTTTTTTTCTTTTATTTTTTATTCTTAAGAATTTACATTAAGTAATTTTTTTAACAAAACATTTTATTTTATATTAATCCATTTAATATGTTAAAATTAAATAAAAAATGACAAGTGATGAGACTATCATGCCACCTCATCAAATTATCACGCCCCATCATCTTTGTATTCCACACATCATGAATTTCCACTATTTGTTAGAAAATGTTAACATAATGACCAAGTTTGATGATAGACATATGAAGTTGCCCATATAGATAGACTTAAGGACTTTAGTATTTATGGGTTAGGCCTATAATATAGTTAACGTCTATAGACACAGCCTCTCCCCCAAAAATGAGAAGGAACAAAATGAGAAGAAACAAAGGAGGCAACCAAAAGGGTTCGGGCAGTCTCAATGAGACGACAATGTTCTCTTTCTCCAATACCATTCTGAGAGCAGGACAAGAGAGTTGGCAAGAATGCCCTTAGAAGAAGTTAAAAACTAGAAACTGACGAAAATAAATTTTCAGATAAATACTCACCACCAAAATCAGAATGAAACAATCGAATAAGAGTAGAAAACTGAATATGAACCATGCGAGCAAAAATTTTGTAAATGAAACACAACTGGGAGCGATGTTTCATAAAATAAATTCGAATATATCGAGAATGATCATCAATAAAAATAACATAACATTTATTGCCACATTTAACATTTTGTAGGAAAAGGAGAAGGACCCCACATATCAGAAAGAATGAATAAAATCAAAAGGTCTAGAAGAATGAGAAATGATAGTAGAATATGGGAGTTGTAGCTATTTCCCGAGCTTGCAACCCTTACAATGAAACAATGTTGTTAAATAGCGGCCATGGCGGTTTTTAACCTGACCGACATGTTATGGCCGCCTTGTGGCGGCGCCATATGCAGTCGTCATGAGCGTTGCGGCCATGGCAGAGTGGCGCTGATGGCATAAAATGGCAGCCTAGATTTTGGCTAAAAAGAAAGGAAAGGTAATTGGGTCGGCCTAATTTGATCAAAATCAGCCCACTCTCTGATGAGCCCGCATCCTGGTGACCCAACCTCCAACAACTTATCCTCCGGCAACCATTACTTCTATTTTTCTTTCTTCTTTCTTCGTTTTCCCTATTCTGTTTTTTTTTTTTTTTTCCNCTTCTCCTCTCGTCTTTTGGTTACCTAACTTATAAACGTTTATTTATTTCTTTTAATATTTCCTTTTTCTTTTTCTTTAATGTTCTTTACGTTTTCAGATTACTTATTTATTTTAATTTTTAGCTCTCTTTTGTTACAAAATAGTTATTTCTGGCTGCATTTTATTTTAAACTCTTTATTTGTTTATTTTGCTTTGATTTTCAGCTCATTCTTATTTAGCTAATCTCATTTTTATGTATTACTAATTGACATCATTTAGCTTAACTATGGTGTTATATATGGGCACTAAAAAATGTGAATTTTATACAGAAGTGATGACAAGAACTGCCATTAGCTATTTGAATAGAAGTACCATTAGTGAACACCTTGCAAGCAACATAAACAGATGCCCCTGAATCGAGGACCCAAGACTAAGGAGCAGACACAAGAGGCAAGAAGCAGTGGGCAGATACGGAGCCCTTCGTAGCATAAGTCGTACTACGAGCCCAAGCAGCACGGCGTGCACACAATACTCAGCTACTTCTATATTTTTATATGCTGAGCAAAACAATTCTCAGCAATATGACTGGTCTTCCCTCAAATGCTTACAAGGTTCTGGAGAGCTACCTCTAGGTGCACTAAACTGAAAAGATGTCAAACCTACCAGGATACGATGTGATAGAACTATGTGATGCTGACTAAGGAGCAATCTTCAACATTAGTAGAAGAGTTATCAAGCAACCGTGTGCGAATGGACTCAAATTCTGCTCGGACTCCCATGACAAAGCAATAAATAATTTATGTGTTGAACACTCCTCCGCCGAGCATTGAAGTAACATTGAGATCAATGGTCCCACCAAACGATCAAAGAGGAGTAGTACTCATCAATAGACATGTCATTATGTTGAATCAAGTGAATTTGATGTATAAGTGTGCAAGAGTGCACCACTATCCTAATAGGATCACATCCCCTTAGTTGTACCAAAATAAGAATGGCTTACCATGGACTGATTAACATTGTTAACGATTGCAGCCACCACTTTCCCGTCAGTAATTAATTTGTCATTTCCTGATGTCAGCAAAATTACTATTACCAGTCTTTCGTTCCGGTCTATCATCAAGTGGAAAGCTAAACGCAAGATTGACAAGTTGGGACATGATTCAGTGATGTATGACAATAACTATGCCTTCGCGACAGGCGGACGACAGTATCAAGCGAGCAGCGACGAGCGTACCAAAAAGATTTGCTAAACGCAATGTAAGACCACGCGACGGGGTGATTGGGTGAACACTGAAAGAACAAGAGACGAGGGCAAAAACCCTAACCCAAAGTGATGCCAGATCTGAAAAATGCCAAACGGAACACCAACACCGCCCAAAACACAAAACGAACAACACTGTCGAAAAGCCCACAAGATTTCGAGCGACGGCCGTTCGCCAGAAAAAAAATCCGACAAACCACGCGCCCACACACGCCGGTGTGTGAGGATGGCTGCAGACGCGACACGTGGGACCCACACGTGCGGACTCCGGCCACAAAAAATGGCCAAAAGGCTAATCCTGGGGCGGCGAGGTTGGTGTGGGAGGTGAGATCCAAATGTTACAAAATAGAAGTACTCCAGTTGTTTGGCTTTGATGCCATGTTACGAACCTTAGGATCTTAGGGGTTTGAAAGAATAATACATTCATATATACAGACTTGGGGCTTAGGGCCTTTTAGTATAGGGCCTATGATATAGTTAACATAAGTAAACCAAGTTAGTGGTATGAAAATTTCCTAAAATTAGAATTACTATGTGCTAGCAAAGGGTGAACACGGAGCAAGATTTTGGAAACTTATATTGTACTATTGCCTAAAGACAAACTGAATGAGAAGTCATATCTCAAACAGTGTGGTTTATGATAATACCTGGTTTATATATCATTCGTAGTTATCAAAAAACACGCAAATATCAGAAAAGTAGTTATGGCTAGTGGGACTGAGTATATAAAAACACTAGTAATTGAGGTTTTATAGAAGGTTGACTCCAGCCAGGACATCACCCACAGCTCTCTTCACTTTCATCCTTAACGCCATAATTCCTTTTGAAAAGTGGGTGATTATCCAAAAGGGGAAGCCTAATCTATGAGAGATAATTGCCTTTTTTGCAATCCCATGACGACAACAACGACAACAACAACATACCCAGTATATTCCCAACAGGTTGGGGTCTGGGGGTCAATTGTACGCAGACCTTACCCATGGAAAGAAAATGATACTAACAGAAAGAGAGAACTTATGAGAAGACCTGCAATTACCTGGGAGTCCTTCCGCACAATTTTGTCTATTTGATGTGCAATAGATGATCTCTTCATAATCTCAGGCATGTAAGAGATTTCAACAGGAAAACGCTGGAAACTTTCCTGGAAAACAACCAAGGTTATATTATCAGAGACTTGTATATAAAAAAAAATATACTCAAAATTTTTCATTTAAACATTATTTAATATAACTGTTATAGGAAACTCTGGGGAAGACCACATTATAAACACTACAATCTATCCAAAACCACAATGACAGAGACTAACAAAAGACCACAGCAGCGCAGGACGTACTCGAGACATAAAAAATTATCAGTGAATATAGCTTTATCTTGCAAATATAGCTTTATCGTGCAGGAAAACTTGGCATCACAGACTTTTAACATAACACAACCCCTTCGTAAAGTCTACCTTAATATGTATGTTAAGTAAGAAATGTCATCCATTACTTCATACCACATCCCCCAAAAAGTTGTCAAGTAAACGGACAAGTGAGATATGAAACAAAATCTACATTAACAAACGGCAAACAATTTGCAGGATTACATTACATAAGAATTAACTATCACAGGTAAACAGAACAATTTAGCCGAAAAATATAGATGCTCATACACTATGAATATGATTAAGAATTGTTAAGGCAACCATCAAATATTAATTTTTGCATTATGCTCTCTCAAGCTACCATCACTAGAATCATCATCTTATATAACCTCTAAAATATTCCAAGTTTGATACAAACTATAGAAAATGACAATTCAACCTTCAAATCATGGACCGTGGCTAGGGCAAGGAGGGAAGCATTGACATCATTTTTCAAAGTGTAAATTAAATCCTTTACGTGCCTACAATGGAAGCAAAAAAATGGGTCCCAAACTCATAGTAAATACATTTTTATCCTTTTTCGGCCTCTTACAACCATTAGACGTATATACATCCAAAACTACAATCATTCTCCCTGGTTACCACTCTAAATCTAGCAATTACCTTTGCAAATGACTTGCACAGTGCTGCAAATTTTGACGCGTCATTTGGCGAGACAAGAGCAATGCTGCAACCATCAGTAGAGGCTCTAGCTGTCCTTCCACATCTATGAACATATACCTGCAGCAATAAACTTATCCCTCTTTAAAAACGACAGGCGCTGGGAAGGCAAGAAAGATATGACACAATTGCACAATTTTTACCTCAGCCGAAAGTGGAAGCTGATAATGGACAACAGTACGGACACCAGGAATGTCAAGCCCTCGCGCGGCAGCATCTGTGGCGATGAGTATGCCATGTTCGCTAGCACGGAAACGGTCCACGGACTGCATTGAATGAAAGGCACACAACAAACAAATTAACTTCAGATTTTACATTCCATTTACTAACAAAGGCAAATCAATGCACTGGTCCAAAATAGGATTTGACAGATAAAACCAAAAAGAAAACAGGAAATACAAAGAATTCCATCCAATAGGGTGCAATTGGATACACTTTCAGTTACGGGATTTTTCATTTGGAAAGATAGTGAAGAACTGTATTTTGTAAGAGACTGATAAATTTTGAGGCTTTAAAAAATTTTAACATCGAAAGATGCTGTAGTATGAAAAAAATAAAGCAATGATTGGAGATGATTAGTAGTTTAAATTTGTCTTCGGTGATAGTAAAATCTACGTAAAATGTCTAATAATGATTGATGTATTGATGATCATTTTAAAAAACAGGTTGAACTGATTGGTGAGAAGGAAAGGTAATTGGGAAGAAAATTTCATTGGGGGAAATTTTTCAACTTCAAAATATATTCAGTTGCTCCCTTATTTTCTTGGTCATAATGTGTGAAAGATTTGAAAGTTTGTAGTTTGTATCCAAAATAAAGAATAAACGAATGAAGCTATAAGCAGCCAAATGATCCTCTAATCGTGTTAGAAGAAACATTTCAGATGGATTTACTTTTTAAACTAGCAGGGATACCATTCTTTTGACTTAAAATTAAGGTTCAAAAATAGCATTAACTGATTGTAACATTCATAATGATTTATCTCAATTTTCATTGATAACATGCATTATATCACAAGTGATTTGGTCTCGTCTCCTCTAATTATATATGCAGGAAATTTACTCACAGAATAAATAGGAAATCAAAATTAATGTTCCGAGCACATACCAAGAATCGATCTTACCCAAATCACATCACATGTGCCCAAACACTAGCATGCTAATTCAAGCGACATAATTACCAAAATTTGTTCAGAGCCTCAGACATATAGGGCATGCCTAAGTTCGTGACTGAGTGTTGCTTTCATTGCACTTACTACTACATTTAGCATTCCTATTGTTTCAGAAATTTAGCAAGGCAGTGTTAATTTTTCGAACGTCCAGTTCATTTTACACAGTTTGATCCTGATGTTTGACCAAAAATCATAATATTTTCTTACTACTATGTGAATCAAGTCTCTCACAGAAAAAGAAAAAGTTTAGCTACTACTTAGAATGATTGGGATACAAATAAGTGGATTCTCGAGATATTCTTCGCTTCACACATCTGAACACCAAACATTCCAGACTTGGTTTTTATTTCCTGTTTGCCTCCCTTACATTCGTGGGAGCGCAGAGTGGGAACAGCTAGCCTACCTGTCAATGGCTGTACAGCTGACACTTCCAGTGTCATCTCTATGAATCTTAACACCTCCGTCACATTAAACTCTGCTCTTTCCAGGGCCAAATCACCATGAAAGTGAGTCACATATAAACTAAACACCAAATGCTGCTCTAAGAACAAAGAACCTACACTAAATGGGTTCTTTATTTACAACGTGCAATCCTTACACATTTGGAAAGTGTTCTACAAGAACCTAAGCTCTTCCTTGAATGTTTATGGATGAAGAAATTCCAAACGAGGTGTCGAGCAAACAAAATAAATAAAACAAGCAGAATCTGACAAATCGTATTCTTGGCCTATGGGTCAATGATATTAGAGCTGGGAAGATGGTGAAAAATAACAAAGGATGCAAGCAATTGAGTAGAGGAACCTTTAGGCGTGCCCGCTGCTGCATTTCTGAGTGAAGGGTCCACACATTTATCTTGAGGATACGCAATAATGAAGAAATGCGGCGTAAAGCTGCTATTGAAGTACAAAAAACAATTGTTCGTCCTTGTCCATGTACGCTTAGTAAGTAATACAAATGGGCATCCTTCTCTTCTTCCCTACACCTGCAACACAATGCATGAAATGCTCTTCATATACAAGCAAGAGAAAATTAACATATAAAACTCTGAAAGACGACTGAGTCAGGATAGGACTTGCATCTTGCTATGAATAGAAACGTTTGACAAAGATTAAAATGCAGATATATAAATGTAAATAAGGGAAAGCATACTCAATAATTGATTCCACCAGCTTCTTGGCTAAAATTGAAGCATTAGTAAGATCCACTATAGCAGTATCGGGTCTCATTCCTGCTCTCTCTGAAAGAGTCTCAATCGAGTTAAGCCCATCCTTTTTCGAATTACCAGATCCCTGCTTCAACTTCTTACGAAAATCAGCAGACAGGGCAAGAGTTGCAGAAAACACAAACGTCTGCCTTTTCTTTCTTTGGAGGCTAGCAACAGTTACACAGTTCTGTGTATTCTGATGTTGGCTCTCAGATGATTCTCTGTTCATGGGAAGCATGTCAATTATGGACTGCAGTTCACGAAAGTGACCAGTTTCAATCATGCGGTCGGCTTCATCCAGCACAAAAAATGATAATGAGTGAAGCTGCAACAACATATATGAACCAAGGTTACTAATGCTTAAAAGTAATTTACAAGAAAAAAGGCAATACAATTTAAAGTTAGTTACAACTGCAGCTAAACATAAAAGCTTCACACATGTTGCACCAAGAATAACCTCTTAACAAATTTCAATTGGAATCCATCAGATTCCTATTTATGATATGCAGGGCCGTCTCCAGGAATTTGGAGGCCCAAGACAAATTTTACGTTTTCGAATGTCCCGATTTGAACTTGCGTGGTAGGACTATTTGTAGATAGAATCATACAATAAAAAAAAAATCTATTTACACAAGACTATTAAATAAATAAATAATTGAAAAAAAATGATTTTCCTTGTTTTTCTATACGTTGGAAAAATTACATTTAATAAATTATAAATTGCATTCAAGCAATCATGAAGACAACAAGGAGGAGAAAATAAAAATCATATTACAACAAAGAATATTTATTTTCACACAATTTCTTCTGACCGAACATCATAAGAAAAACAAATGAAATATTTAGGGCTTAAAATTCTTACACAAAGTACATATTTTGCTATTAGCCTCTTCATTAATTAGTCTCTTGATCTTGATTTGTGTAATGGGCCAAGTTCTATTTAGCCATTAGCCTCTTTATTTGTGTAAATAAACAAAATCAAACACAAATACATAAACATTAAAAAAAAAATTGAGGCCCCTCAAAATTGGAGGCCCTAGGCATGGGCCTATGGTGCCTCCCCCTAGAGCCGGCACTGATGATATGAAGCAAAGGATGCACTAACTTAGCTAAGACACATTATAAATGGTCTATCAAGAAGCATTAGGTGAGTCAGACAATGAATGTTTCTCTCTGTCGCTAACAATAATTCTTTTTTGATATATTATTAATTTAACAAATCAGCATGTAGCAGTTTATCTGCAGCCATGAGATACTGTCGATATGCGAATCAGCCGCTAAAGCATTACAATTTGACCTGCAGAAACAGGTTTACATCTTATCTAACACAACATGAAAACAAAAAGGTTAGCATCTATAACCCAAAAGTTACAGATTTGATCATTTGAGTGCAAATTACTCCAAGGAAGATAAAAAAGTTCTCAAAACATTTTCAACATGTTGAAATTTGAAAACGTTCGGTGGCAATGATTATCAAGAAAACTTCCTCCATGCAATCAATCTTACAGTGAAATGTTTAGTATTTACCTCCAAAAGGTGAATTTCTCCTCCTGACATGAGTTCCCATAGTCGCCCCGGTGTTCCAACAACAATTTCAGGCCGTGCTTTCAAAAGCCTTTCCTGCTTCTCAGTTGATATTCCACCAACAATAGGGACCACCCTAATATCCATGCCTACTGCTACTTCCTTGAGATGATCAGTGACCTTTACAAGAATAACATGTATGAATGCATAAAGGCCCAGTTTATGTGGCAGGAAGATATTTGGAATATTAATGATAAGGCATCGAAAAACGCAAACATGATTGACAAAAATAGAAAGCAAACATAAGAACCTGAAGTGCGAGCTCCCTTGTAGGGGTAACGATGAGAGCACGCAGAACACCTTTAGGCGCAATCTTTTCATTGGCCTCTCCTTTTTCTTCCATGATCCTCTCGACTTTTTCTCGTTCTTCCAGAAGACGTTGTATAATTGGCAAGCCAAAAGCAAGTGTTTTACCAGATCCTGTCTCTGCAGCACCAATCACGTCCTGCCAAGACAAACGAATAACCTTAGTAGATCCCATCGGTTGTCAATACCAGTACAATGTCGATCTTTTATAGGATACCCAACCTTCCCTTTGTGAGCACCAGCAGGAATACAAGCTTTCTGGATCGGAGTAGGCTCTTTAAACTTTAGTCTGTATATTGATTTCATAATTTTCGGATGAAGTCTAAGATCGTTCCACGCATAATATTCTTCTTCATCAGCTGAATTGCCTTCAACATTACCATTATTCTCTCCATTGCAAGCTGAAAGCAGATATTCAGAATCATATTTTTGTCGCAATATTAAATCCCAGTGTTGTTAAATAGCGGCCATGGCGGTATGGCGTGGCGGTATTTAACCTGACCGCCATGTAATGGCTGCCTTGTGGCAGCTTTTTAATGACGGCGCCATTGTGGCCGCCGTGAGCATTGCGGTCATGGCGGTGTGGCGCTGATGGTGTAAAATGGCGGATTTTGCCCAGATTTGGTGCTAAAAAGAAAGAAAAAATAATTGGGCCGGCCCAATTACTTTTTGTTTATTTTGCTTTAATTTTCAGCTCTTTCTTATGTAACTAATTTTATTTGTATGTATTAATTGACATTATTTAAGCTTAACTATGGTGTTATGTATGTGTGCCTCTGTGTATAGATATTAGAATGTATAAATATATACATATATATGCATATATATATAATATTATATTTTTTTTGTCCGCCATAATTTCCGCCACGCTATCCGCCATACATATATATGGCGGTTTTTTGCCTCGCCGCCATCCGCCATTGATAACACTGCTAAATACAATCCTAACGGACTACATCTTCTAACAGTATTCTCTATAACAGCATGAATTATTGCAAATGCAGGTTAGTTAATCTGCATTTTTACAATCAAGGAGTAGTATCCAACTCAATGAAACAGATCACTTGAAATAGACCAAAGACTTAATCATTTGAAAAAAGTCTAAGGCAAATACACATAACCAAGTATTGAATGGGTGGGCAAAATAATTGAACTTTATTAAAAGTGAGAAAAATTGTCGGATCATCAATATCATAAGAAATGTTTGAAAAGCATTGACATGTGGACATTTAACTGTTCAGGATATAACAGCATTAGAAATTGGAGAGAGCATATGAGTAGAATTTCACAGGAATTTGAATTTCAATCATTTTAATTTTTTCACATGAAGTCAACACAGATAACTCAGAACATTTTTTTTCATAACATCGCTATTTATCAACATGACTATTAATTGAACACAAAATTCAATATCTACTGGATGCGCATTTAACTAACATACCATGCGGTTGCATCACCAAATTCTGGCAAAACGAAAACATACATTTCAAATTGTTCACCATTCTTGTTGATTCAGAATGTTCCCTAACCACTACAGTTGAGAAAAAAGAAGTACCAATTCAGTTATATATGAAGTGAAGAAGTAAATGGAATTCTAACCTGCAGCTTGTTCTTCGGACCGTTCCGATTCACTTGTCTCACGATTCTTCTGACCGTCCATTTTCTTTTTCTTCACATTCTTATTTCTCTTCTTGCTTTTCTGCTTCACTTCCTTCTTCTCATCCTCCCCAATGCTTTCTTCGGCCTTACCATCACTTTCACAATGAAGCTCACTACCACAGCTTTCATCTGCATCACCATTATTTTTCCTAATCCTCTTTGATTTTTTTCCCCGTTTTGGCTCCTGTTTCTCATTTTCCACACTAATTCTAGGAATTCCCAACCCGTAGTCTGATTCATCAATCTCTTCAAGGGTAAGAAATCCTGCACTTGGTGGAATGTATTACGATAAGGAGTCCGAGAACTTATTTCCAATAGAAAAGGTCACATAATTAACCACAACAATAAATAGAAAAATGAAAATGAAAAAACGAAGGACAAATCATATTTAGTTTTGAAAAAATTCAACAGAATCAAGCCAGTAAGCATTTCAATTGTATTTACGACATTTCCATCTCATGAATGAAATATTACGTCTAAGAAACACAGCCAATACCACATGAAAAAAACACGCCTTTAGCAAATATCAGAAGAAGAAGAAGTAGCAACAATTAGCAAATATCATAAACAAAAGTAGCAACAAAATTAATTATAAAATTCCGGAACCTAAATCAAGACCGATTCACCAAACTCACAACAAATCTCAACTGAAGCTACCGCATTGGGAAAGTAAAAGATTTTTATAACTTCTAATGATGAAATCAAATCAACATAACTGCACTAGGGAGTACCTCCTTCAAGGTCGTTAGAGCCGATGAAGAGAGAGAAACCATCGTCCCCTCTGCCATCATTACCTTCGGGGAGAGACGAGCTCCAGGGAAGAGAGTTCAGGCGTTCAATTTGGTGGTCCAACTCTACTCGGGCTCGCTTCCGAGAGTTTCGTTTGGCTTTCTTCTTCTCAGCAGACTCGGGCGCCATTGTTGCACGGTAAGACTCAGGGAGTCGGGGTTTTTGGTTTCTAATAAGTAATACTAATAAGCAAGGTTTTGAAAACCGGGTCATTGATCCTGTGAATCTGCCGGTTCAATGGTTGGACTAGTAATCGAATCGGTCCAATCAGTTTAATTAATATATAATTTTTTATTTATTTTATATGTATAATATTTGATTTTATGTATTATCATTAATTTTCTAGTGTAGTTCAATAATCAATATTCTATTACTGAATAATTGCACATATAAAAATAAAAATATTTATAAATAATTTGGAATGTACTTAAAAAAAGCATCCAAAAAATAACCTTAATATAAAAAAGCAAAAGCATCCAAAAGATAACCTTTACTTAGAAAAAACAAAAGCATCCAAAAATAATACTTAAGAAAAGAAACTTTTTTTCCAACACAGCCATCTCTCTGATCTGTTCAACTTTCCCCTCTTTTATTCTCTCTCTCACCAAAAGCTCGAATCTCTTTATCTGTAAAATCAAAAACCTCTTTTTTTGTCTCTCTCTGTAATGGATATCGGCTCTTGGATTTCTCAGGGTTTGGAAAAACATCGGCGTCAGTGCTGATGTCGGGAGTTCACAATTATGCATTCACCTTCGGTTAAGAAGAAATCGACGACAACAAATTGTTATTCGATCTGTTCATCAGATCGTCCGATTGAGCTGTCACCAAGACTCGTGAAGGTGATTCGAAGGACTATTTGAAACCTTTGGGCCTCAAACGTCGATCAGCATCATAAGGTCGGGCCCCAATTTGGAAACCGCTGGGCCATCCGAACCGGTTTCGGTTTTGCCGGTTTTCAACCGGTTTGGACGGTTCTTAAACGGTTTGGAGCCCAGACGGCTTAACACCTCAATCCGGAATGGTGTGATTGCCGGCTCCCGGTTGAACCGGCCAGTCAGGTCCAGTTTTGAGAATCATGCTAATAAGTGAATGATAAACATCGCCCGGTCCCGTCCGGTTTTGAGGATCATGCAGCAGCTACACTGCTGAATTTAAAAAGGAGGACCACCCAAAGGTAGCCTAGAACCTACCTACCACAATGCACATACTAAACGCTCCCAACAGGAGAATAACAAAACTAAAGCTCCCAACAGGAGAATACACATAACGCACTCCTAACGAGAGAGAATGAATAAGAACGCAGCCTACACATAAACACGACTCCTAACACCTAAACTAAAAACTACTAAATACACCACCTTTCTGCAGCCGACACACACCAAGCCAACCAACGGAGACGCCAACGGACAACCGACCATATAGACATAGCTAAGGCCCAGGAACCCAAACCAGAAACTGACAGATAAACGCCTAACTGGGACGGGCACCATCGAACCCAAACCACGCCCAGACGGATACCAGAGGCCAGCACCCGGAGACCCACACCACAAACCACCAAAAAAATCGACAAACCAACCCTGACCTAAGAAACCAGCCACGGTCAAAACTTGTCGGTCATCACCTCCGGCCAAAACCAGAAATGCGAGGGACATGGAGGCCAGCAGCGAAACCCTCCACCTCGAATCCCCCAAAAGAAGGAGCGAAGTCGCGGCTCACCCTGAAGAAGCGCAGAGGCTTGCCCAAAATTGCGAAATTACCGGTGAAACGGTCGCCCTCCTCACCAATCTAGTAACCTGAGAACTGGCGTGACCTAAATCAGGAATTGGGCACTGTCATCTCCAGTAAAAGCCCTACCTCTGGTTGGCAAATCTCCGAAAATCAAGTCACGAGGCCCAAGGACGCTCCGTCGAGAAACCTCGGGCGACTCGCATGCAAATAATCGAAACACCAAAATGGAATATTCTCCCGGGAGCACCACACCAAACAAACCCCCAACACCAAATCGGACGAAAGTAGTCAATCACCAATGGCAACCGACTACCCCTCCGTCGGACCATCTACCCTAACACCATTAAGGCGAGAAGAAACCATGGGAGAGAGAAGGTGACGTACTCAGACCTCACCTCTACCACGGCAGTGGCCAGATCCGGTGTTGACCAACTCGCAGCTTAGACACTAAAACCCTACAGAGAACTCCGTCGTGGCTTTCCTGTAGAGGAGAGGCGCCGCGCAGGAAAAATAGGGGTAGGCGACTGAACGGGTGTAACGCCCCACTTTATTTTGAAAGATTTATCGAATTTAATTAATAAAAATCCGAGTTGATTTTTCTTAAATCTCAAATTTAATTTAAAACTCGGTGGGCGCTACTTAACTACTAAGAACTATTAATCGTAAATCCCAAACTCATCAATTAAAATCGGAACTTGCATGATGGATAGTTATAAAATCTTACTAGCATTTAATAAATTCCAAAACCATGAAACCAAACATTATTCAAGATTCAAATGACATAATCAATATCTCAAAACATGCGGGAAAGGACAATCCAAGTCATAATGAATTCATAAAAGCGGAAGCAATAATACTGATAATCATAAATCACTAAACGAGACCACCACTCGTCTTGCCTCGTCACCCGCCAACTGCTTAACCTACATCCGTGAAGAGCAGGTGGGAGTGAGTATAGTTGGAAAATATTGTACTCACACTATGCATATGAACAACATAATAATGGTATGGTCGCAGCTTGAACATAAACAATAATAACATCATGTCTCATCTCTAGTCACATCAATGACTCTTGCCACATCAATGGCTCACTCCTGTGTACACATCTTTCATTAATCGCGGAAAGAGGATTCATTACCCTAACGGCGAGAGTGCGTGCCACGCAAGGACACGACCTTTTATTAGGTCTTAAAGAGACTTGCCTCGCAAGGGCAACCGTATTACATCGACGGGGACAACCGTACCGATGGCCATCAAGCTCATATCGATAGGCTACATGCTCACATGCATACATAGATCATACCAAATTTTCAAACACATTTAAACACACATATGCATAGACTTTTTAGAATAACTAACCCACCTGGATTTTCGGATTGAATAGAAACTCAACAAGCGATGGAAGTAGGTCGAGGTTGGACTCCTCAATTACCTACATTAAGTCAAGATACTACAATCAACATCTATCTTGACTTAAACAGAAAACACAAAACTAACTTAATCGAACTTGATTCAACTAAGTTGTTCGTAAAGTCCTGTGGACGTTGGAACACTTAGACTCGGCACTATACTCAACCAAACCACATATGGGAGTTCACATAAATCCAACTAAGGATTGACCAAATCAAACAAACAAGAAAACAGAAGGCGAGTCGATTTACAGTTTTTAACACAAAAATCATATTTTTGAAAATACTAACCAATAATCACATAAACAAGTTGGTCAGGTTGCCCTATGAATTAGACTCTAAAATTTTAACACAAAATTTACCTCCTAGTACTTAGAAAAACCACCAAGTTTCAGCCCCTAATTAAAAGCACATGATTTTATAAAATTCGAGCAAGTTTTCAGCAAAAACGAGCACAAATTAAAAACCTGACAAGATAAACGATTCAATCTTTGAAATTTTTATCCAAGGAACCTCAGCATGTGAATGGCAGCATGTGAATATCTCAGCTTTAAACACTTAACATGCGAATTAATAAAATTGTAACAACATTCAGCATATTTCAATGTTTCAGCAAAACTTAACCAATCTAAACTCCGAAAATTCCGATATTTTTACAGTATTAAACACATCACAAAATAAGCACTTCAACCAAAAACAGAATTTTTCAGCATCAGATCAATTTATCATAAAAATAATTTTTGGCAGAATCACTAAATAAATTATTTCTCTAAGCAAACTGAGTCCAAAAATTCTGAAAATTTTACACAACAGGTAAACTTGCGAGAGACACAACATACTCAAACTTCAGCCAAGTTGGAGCAGATATCAATTTATTATGAATTAAACAAGATTCTGCTCAGAAAGCAATTTAATTAATTAAATTAGATACAGGCCGAATAAAATTATGAAATTTTTACACCAGCCTTATATTCATCAAAGGACATAACACCTAAAATTTCAAGGAAATCCAAGCAGCATACAGTTTTTAACGAATTAAACACCAAAACAACAATTTACGACATCAATAACTCAAACACGACTCAACAAGACTCGAATTTGTCTGAGGCCTTCACTTAAGACCAAGGAACTCTTAACGTGTTCTCGTTCGATTCTCACGAATCGACAACGATCACACATAACACGTCAATAATCATAAAGAGTCAAACCGAGCACATAAAATCATAAGCATGTAGTAACACGTAGGGTACGATTAACACATCAAATATACACGAAGAATAACGCAAGAAGGATCAAGACTCGATACCGTTCTCGGGAAGCGTGCGAGAATGGATCGAACGGGTTGACGGGACGACGAGCTCGACGGATTTACGCGTCTCGCTGGGAAAGGAGGTGCAGCGGCGGCTGTTCTCGGCTGTTTGGTTGCTGCGATGGACGAGGGATGAACTCGACGGAGCTTGCTGGTCGCTGCGGCGATTTACGGCTGAGGAGTTGGCGACTCGTTCTCGTCGGAACGGCTCGCGGCGAGAGGGGTGTCGTCGGCTGGCTGTTGGTCGCGAACGTCGGAGGTGCAGCGGAGCTCGGTGGTAGTCGCCGGTTGCTGCTGATCGCGAGTTGTGAGAGGAGGCTCGCCGGTGGTGATGGAGGCGTCACTGCTGGCGTCGCGGCACGACAGAATTTCTGATCGCGGCACGGGAGGAGAGCAGGTCGATGATGATCGAGAGATGAAGGTGATGAGGGGCTGCGATGGATTTGCGTGAGAGGGAAAGGAGACAATTTCTTCTGAGTGGGAGAAAGAAACGAGAGATGAGGGGCGATCGGATTCTCGAGCGAGAGATTTTCTTATCTTGCGGCGTGTTGTTGACGAGAGAAAAAAGGCTGCGGGAGGTGAGCATTTTTTTTTTTTTTTGTCTNGAATGGACGCCAATTAAAATAAAATCGGATATATATATAAACATTTAATACACACATTAAATAATTACTAATAATACACAATTAGGCATTTAATTGACAATTTAGCATTTAATAAATAAT